AAAGAAATAGTAAAAACATACATGATTTACTCATGAAAGTGGCCACTTTCTCATTACTTTCATATATTTTGTTAGTAAGTATCCAAAACATACAAGTTTCATTATATAATTTTTCAAGGTATCTTATATGTGTTTTCACTCTTGTATGCTTTTCATACAAGTTTCATACAAGACAGATACGAACTTTATAAGATTTATATATATCTTTTCCATATGGGTGCCTTGATTTTGCGATGATTTTCGATTGGTAAAAGGGGCCCTTCACAGCATCACTGATTTGTTTGTTAAAAGTAAACAAACTATCCACAAAAACCCAAAGATTTTTAACTGCAGTTTGGATGTATGTGGTTAAAGGGCCAAGTGCCTCAATGGGGAGATTTTTAAGTGCAGGCAGCCAAATAAAATCACTTCCATTTTGCTATTATTTAGTTCAAAGAAATATATGTAATCCAGAATTTCAGATCATTCAGTCAAAGAGTTTCTGAGTCATTGTCAGAAGTCTGCCTGTGTTACAGGTAGATAGCTCTCAGTGTCATTCACATATCAGTGATAGTGAACAAAGCAGTGGGTTATCATACATAATGGAAATAAAAGAGGACCTAATTGAATCCTTTAGGGATGCCACAGTTAATGTAAGCTGAGGATGACAAACAGTGTCTTATATGGACAGCTTCTATATTTCAGACATGAAGAACAGGTGCAAAACTAGACCCAGCAGTCCAACTTTATGCTCTATAGCAGCGGTCCCCAACCTTTTTTGCGCCATGGACCGGTTTATGCCCGACAATATTTTCACGGACCAGCCTTTAAGGTGTAGCGGATAAATACAACAAAATAAAACTAGTACCGAAAAAAAGAAGATTTATTCATAACACACATGAAAAGACCCAGGAAACCCGAGTTAATGATAAAAATGATAACAAAATAATGCTGAAAACTGATAGAAACCCTGAATTTCACACCTGACCCTCAACTCTCGCGGCCTGGTATCAAACGACTCACGGACCGGTACCGGTCCGAGGCCCGGGGGTTGGGGACCGCTGCTCTATAGGACAAAACCAGGAACTGTTCAGAAATTTTGGAGTGGTAAGGTAATTTGGGGTGTATCACTAATAAGGACATTAGACTCAAGGTTATCTTTCTTTAGGAGCGGCTGCGTGACCGTATTTATAACACATGAAGAAATGACTCCATTTGCTAAACAGTGATTATAGACAGAAGACCTGGGGAACACAAAGTTGTTATGGACTGAATTGTTTAGCTGCAACCAAAGGGGCTCTCAGACAGTCTTGTTCCAGCTCTTCTGGCCACACTGAGCAGCAGCCTGATATGAGAATTAGAATCTAGTCCATTGTTATTAGAAGGAAGCAGTGCACTCGGCATTTGGGATCATTTTCTCCACAAGGAGTTTAAGTGTATTGTGGTGCTGTTCATGGGTGATGGAAAAGTGAAGTGGGAGACTGATAGACAGATTGCTAGAACATTTGCAGCAATGTTGTAAAGCTCTGTTAAAAAGCCATGTTGTTACCCTTACTGTACCAATGGTCACAAGCAGAAATGAGCTTCCTCCAAAGAATGTCTAGGCTCAGCCTTAGAGGTAGGATGAGGAACTTGGTCATCTGAGCGAGCCTCACAGGAGACTTGCTGTTTCTCCACACTGAAAGATGGTTATGTCCCACATCCAGCTTGAGAGTCTTGCCTCTCCACAAGAAGGCAACTGAGGAGATCTGGTAAGGAGGATTTATCGCCCTGAAAAATCTTTTCTAAGTATTAAAAAAGAAGAGAAAATCAAATTTACTATCATAGAATTGAACTGCACGCATGTTTCCCTATAAATTGATTATTTTCCTAATGATGCTAATGAGTTTCTTGCAGAAAAACAAACAAAGAAACTAAATAACAATGTATACTACTGAATAGTTAAAAGGGTGTTTATGCTTAAATATGGGAAAGTGTCAGTGGCCTCCAGTGTGATAAGCAACTTTTAAAGATGAATAATTTCAACAGTGCCTGAAAGAGGTTGTTAAAAAGAATATGATGGGAATAACTTTGCATTCAAGATGAGGTAAAAGTGCCTCTGCCAGCAAAGGCAATATCTGGATTTCCTGAGGCGAGTATGAATGAAATGCAGACACATGAGCGAAATATGAATGCTGGGTGTGAATGAAATAAAGCCGTTGTGCCTTTTGAAGAAAACATAAACAAAAGTGAAAACCTGAAATCCTCCTTCATTACCACATAAAGGTGCAGCTAAAACTTCAAAATAAAGAGTTTTGATTTTAAAGTTTTAAATGCAGTGAATAGCCAAGTCTTTGCAAAGATTCAGAACATGGATACATGTTATGAAACATGCATGTAGACCAGGGGTAGGCAACGCCAGGCCTCGAGTGCCGGTGTCCTGCAGGTTTTAGATCGCACCCTGTGTCAACACACCTGAATCAAATGATTTGTTCATTACCAGCCCCCTGGAAAACTTCAAGACATGTTGAGGAGGTAATTTAGCCATTTCAATCAGCTGTGTTTGATCAAGGACACATCTAAAACCTGCAGGACACCGGCACTCAAGGCCTGGAGTTGCCTACCCCTGATGTAGACAAAATAATCAGAAAGACAGCATGTCTTGGGTTTGAATGCAGATGACTGTGTGCGTAATCTTCATGAAGATTTAATCATATAGATTTAATAAGAACACAATAAGGAACACAATGTTTTTCTAAAAAATGTTATTTAAACTCTAGTTAAAGATGAGGAGAAGCTTTTGGGTTTCACAAGATTAAAAGTCTGAGTAACAGTATTGATCCGTAACCCTGGGGGCAGATATGTTTGGGATTTGTATTAAACTCAATATAAATTTAAAGTTATTTCAACAGCTTTCAAACTTTTGCCCACAGCTTTCTCCTAAAGGTTGATAACCTTTACTACTGAGGGGGAAAAATCCCTGTGGAACTTTATAATGAATCCATTGCTATTTAGTACTTTGCATTACAATAACACAAAGTTTTTGTTGCAATTTTGAAATTAGCTCAAAACAAGCTCAGGTCCTCTGCCAGAGGCCTGTGAGTTTGAGGGTTCTTCTTAGCTGTTCCTGGAGTCCTCTCTACCTGGAATCTTCAGGTTTTGGGGTTATAGCTCCTAATTCTCCTATTACCAGTGTAAACAAATTTGAAATTTATCTTCTACATGTGCTCCAGTTGTTCCTTCAGCCCCTGGTCTTTCTCTCCGTGCTCCTCCTTCCCTATGTTGCCGTCCACTGAGATCGACACATCTATCACGCCTGCAGTCTTCTGCGCTTGTCAACTACCACTATGTCTGGTTGGTTGAACAACAAATGTCTGGAACTTGAAGTCCCAGAGGATCATAGCTCCGTTATTTCCAACCACCTTTCATGCTTGAAAATAACGACTTATTGTTATCGATGTACAGGAGGCGGCTCATAGTCTCACCACTCCTCAATTCATATATGCTCTTAGTAATAAGCTGCCTTAGGTGGTTAAGCCCCATACAGAATAGTAGTGTGGACACCTTGGTATATTCTGCACTTGGTAATTTGCGTAATTTATTTGGCGTTGTCCTCCATTGTTGTCTTCCACAGAACCATTGAGTTTCTCATGAATGTTATTAATGTGCTGGTGGTCTTCTACAGTGCCAAGCACTCAAGTGTTGTAGGCAGTGTCGGGAAGGTTACTTTTAAAATGTGTTCCACTACAGATTACAGAATACATGCTCCAAAATGTATTTTGTAACGTATTCCATTACGTTACTCAATGAGAGTAACGTATTCTGAATACTTTGGATTACTTAATATATTATCATGCTTTTTTACAACTACATGAATGTACTATTGCTGTGTGATTTATTACTATTACTGAAGGTCCGCGGCTCCGAACCGTAGTAAAGGGACCTCTGAGCTAATACCTCGGGTTCGTGTCGGGCTCGTAGCCAGAAAACTAGCTTTACTTTGTTGTCTAGGGTCAACTTTGCTAGCGAGAGCCAGAGAGAGGCGTTGAAAGGCTGCTCCAAACGAACTTATTGTTTCGAGGAAAACACGAACACAGGTACAGTCGAGTCTTAATAGCTTACTTACAACTGGGCTACATGCCCATCAGGCTACATCTCTTTAGGTGCGATGCCTGTAACACTCTGCCTATTGCCTTCATATTAAATAATTTTTTGAACAATAATTTTTAAAAATATTGTCACATCATTATGCGGGCCAAGTAGAGGTGACATGGGCCGCGAGATTGAGACACAGGCATTAGAGCCTCTTAATGCGTGTTTTGTTCCGGCGTGGAATTACAAAAAATAGAGAGGGCAGCCTAACATATGAAACAGGAAACTGCTGTGTAATCCATTTATTTCAACAAAGTAACTGTATTCTGAATACCACCTTTTTAAACGGTAACTGTAACAGAATACAGTTACTCATATTTTGTATTTTAAATACCAGTGTTACTGCCCAACACTGGTTGTAGGCTTTCTTGTAGTGCAGGCGGTTTCTCTGGTCGTAAGAGTCCTGGTGTGCTGCTTTATCAGCCAGGAGCTTGAGTTTGGCCTTTGGTGTTTCCAAAACATTTATTGGCAGTGGTCATGTACTGAACCCACTTAGCTTTGCTACTATGATGGCTGACCAAGCGTCCATGGAGTGCTGTTGCGTCTTTAGCCATTAAGCTTGGCTCACGTTGGGTCCTGTTGCTGTCCAGCTCTTGATTCTGTCGACATACTGATGGATGAACAACAACAACACCCTACTTTCTAGCATTAAAAAAAAAGCTTGAGGAAATGCCCTGCCCTAATTCCCATCACTGCTGGGACTTCATTCTGCTGTGATGGGGGACCAGAGTCTAATTGTCAAATAACAGAACTGAATTCTGTATATTAACAACTCCTGTTCAATTCCTTCTAATCTCTCCTTACTGAACTACTAACTAGACTGTAAAACTCTGTCAGAGAGCACATCTAACGGTTGAAAAGCCTCTAGGCAAGCAGAAAAAAATTTAAGCACGCAAAATGTAAATATGGTATTAAGTTATTTTATTAAGTAAAATGACTGGAACATTTATTGAAACAGACTCAGAATGAATGTAAATGGCAAACTACACAGAGTTCAAATCAGCAACTATACACTTGGTTAAATTCATTTTCTGATATGACACAACTAAATATTTTATATTTATTTTTCTTCTCTTCAACTTCTCTCAAGCCTCTGTATTGTAAACAGAAAGGTCAGAGGTCGTGGTCACATGCAGTTCCCATGGAAACTGATTAATAGGTCTCTTGACTTTGTCCTGTTGACGTCTGCCCTCCTTGATCATCAGCTGGACATCCTCATCGTCCAGGATACGAATAAGGTCACCATCAGGGTCGCGGTAGTTCAGGGCAATATCATCCACCTTGAAAACATTCCTGGAAGAGACGAGAAAACACTTCAATAATTAGTGTGTTTTTTTAGAGTATAAAAAATATTAAGCATATTCTACAGAAATAGAAAAACTATTTGTGGGTGATGTTAGTTCTTGTTGGCAGAAATTCTGAGAGATCAGCGAGTGAGATTGTCTCAAAGCCAGTTAATTGCCTGGCTCATAACCTGTTATACATTCAACTGGCAAATCTCATAAGGGCCATCCTATTCAAGCTGCAGCTGCACCCTGTATTGTCATCACTCATCTGCAAGCTACTTTGCAACCCACTACCACCCTAGCTCCTCCCAGCTATACTCCATATTCCAAGTATATGGATGGAAGTGTGAAAAAATCCCAGAACAGAGCCATATCACCAAATATAAATGACTGCATTTGGACTAACAACCACATTTTGTTATGATTCAGTGTTATCAGTGTTTGTGTTTTATGTGTGTGACTCCTCCCACCAGAGGATGGCTGTGGGTTTTTCCTTTTCTCTCTTAGGGGGTGGACACCTGGGAGTGGCTGCTGAGTTGGGTGGAGTTTGTTCCTGTCCTAGGATTGGATAATTGGATGATCACCCCCCAGTAATTAACCACCAGATGACAGCCCCTGGCCCCTCTCTCCTAGCCTCCACCATCCTCCAACAGAGCCTGTGTTTTTGATTCGTTGTTTTACTTAGAGTGTTTTTGCAAACTGATTCGCAAGTTTAACCTCATTTGTGTGTCTGGCGTTAGAGCCTTGATCTTGTAAATCGTTGTAAATAGATTTGTATATATTGTATATATTGTTCCCTGCAGCAGCCTGGTAGGTGTGAGAAGCCATTTTTGCTGACTCAGTTTTCTCCTGGTTTTCTTTTAGAATGTTGGGTAAGTGAACTGTCTTTTGGTTGGATTTCTTTTGTATAGGGAAGCATAGGGACCTTTTTAGGGAGTTTTGTTTATTATTTTGGCATTGCTCACTGCTGAAGGTACTATTGTTGCTCTTTCTTGGGTGGTGCATGAGTGGGGGCCAATTTCTTGCTGTGTTCAATGCACACCTAGATTTAGAATGTAACAGAATAAAACAGTCTTGAGATACCTTAGGAGGCCCATTTTCTGAGCTTCCTTGTTGTACAGCGCTGGCATCTGTCTTTTCTTTTCCTACTTCCCGTCTTCTCGTATGTAACCAACACCCTTTCCTCCATATCCTTATTCTCCCCCTCCCTTTTATCAGTGCTATGCCATATTAAAACTCAAGACCAGGGTCTCATCCATCCTACTCCAGGGCACAATAGGCCTGAACACAGAAAAACAATAATGAGCAGATAAGCGGCGGAAATGAACTGATTATGAATGGGGAGGGCTAATAATCATAGCGTTCACATATCTAAATTACCAGATAATGAGAAATAGAGGGAGAGGGAGAATGAAAGAGAAAAAGACAGATAGCGTAATGAGCACATGCATCCGGTGATGTTGCTGTGGGAAAGATAGCAAGAGGGGGGACTTGGAGGTCCCACAGGAACTAATTTGATGAGTGATGAGGATTGGCAACAGGCATTTTGCAGGTTTGCAGTGCACAATGACTAAATATGTTCCCCCTCAGGGCAGGTCGGTGAATTAATAGATTCATACCCATCGCTGTTTGTTGTGGAATTTCATTTTAACTCACAAAAAATGAAATGCTGAAAGCGTGCTCACAAAGGTCAGCAATTAGCATAGTTCATCAGTACATGCTGGAAGAAACATCAGATATGGAAATCTGCTCAATTTTGTGTGGACAAAAGCTTAGATTTGTAATGTAAATTGCAATCTTTTAACATCTAATTGCTCATGTAGACATAACCAAAACAAGTGGTGTTTTTCTTAATTCAGAAAAGAATTTGGAAGAATATTTGATATAAGAATATTTATGTGAATGCATGTACAGTATGGTTCATGTTTCTGTGCAGAGAGAGTTTACTGAAACTGTTTATGAATAAAAGCAGTCCAGAATTTTAATGGAATAAAAAGCAATTGGATCTGGGATCACATTCATACAATCTTTAGCAAACATCATGAAAACATTTAATAAACTGCAACATATAAAATATGACTATGTGAGAGAGAACCAGAAGTAATTTGCTGTTAGATCCTAATCAATCATTTTCTAATGTCTGTCATAGTTAATGAAGTCCGTGCTGTTGTGCCACATGTGTAAAGGAGTGCAATCCTCCTGCTGTGGATGGTTTCTGTTGCAATTTCTTGCCGCTGGTATGCAATAAACTCAGAAGAAAAACAGAATCAGATTATAGTCATTGATGCTGAATCCCTTTAATTTCATCTTTCACAATTTTCACTGGAGTAATAGTAAAGCTGAATTAAATTTCCCAGTTCAATTCAATTTTATATATGTGTGTGTGTGTGTGTGTGTGTGTGTGTGTGTGTGTGTGTGTGTGTGTGTGTGTGTGTGTTGTGTGTCTGTGTGTGTGTGTGTGTGTGTGTGTTACATTGTAAAGTAAAGCTCCTAAAAATCTGTTTAGACTTTTCTCTAACAATCAGATCTTGTTAGAGATCCTTGGCCAGCACTTGGTGATACTGGGGAAGAAGAACTCCCTTTTAACAGGAAGAGACGTCCACCAGAACCAAACTTAGCTTCTGTAATATTCCAGACCAACATGAATATAAATATATAGACATATTTAGGAGTTATAAGATGCGCACATGATGCACCAATAGACCAGTAAGACCTCAGTGCAAATGTAAACAGCTGAAAACAGCATGAATGTCTCCTTTAACAGTATTCACAAGCTTTAACCAAGTAAATCATTATCACATTTTAGAAGGTGTGGTAATTTGCTTACATGTGTGAAGTCGCTCACAGTAATTTCTCCCTCAGCGCCGATGCTAATCTTTCCCATATAGGTGTAAATGCAATAAGGGTGTGGCTTTTTTATAACCTAAAATCCAGCACTACTACAAGACTGAGAGCAGATGACTGAGGAACTGAGGATAGTTTTACCTCATGCGAGACAGCAGGTCCTTGTATGATGGCTGGATGCTGAGGTCCTCTTGTACACACACATCTCTGTTAAAGAAGGAACACACAATTCTCTGATTAAAGCATTTAGAAAACTGAAGGCCTAAAAATCAATATACACAATGCTAATAGGAGAGATTCACTTTTACATTATGTCGCCTGCAACAATAAATTCAACAAATTCACAGTAACAAATTCAATCCAAGGTTTTTTGTTGGATTTTGTTACATCTGAAATCTGACTGAAGGGGATTCAAATCCCTCCACAAAGCTGAAGTGAGAAATGCAATATTCATTTTCTTTTAACTTCAAGAACAAATGTGCAGGATTTAAGGGATGTAATTGTACAAATAGAAGATAGTGCTATATATTAGTGTACGATCACCTGTAATGACTAACTGTAATGTTTTCATTACCTGATGGCTGAGGCTAACATTTGATGTTAGTCATCTGAAGCCATTAAAGCCTCAAAGTATAAAATTAAAGGGGACCTATTAATGTTTTTAATTTTTTTTTTCCAGGATTATACTCAAGCAGCTTTGCATGATTCACAGTTTGAAATAATCCTTATTTATCTTATCCTGGGCCTCGGTGTATCCCTCAGTTCATCCACTGTCTGAAACAAGCTGCTTATCTACCTTTAAGCCAATATTCTTGTGATTCATTTGAACCGTAATTTGCATATATCTGTGGTGATCATATGAAGGATCTCTTCTCACTGGCATGATACTGTTTCAAGAGTAACATATAAATAAACAATGCGTTTAAAACCTGAAATCTAATCGCACACGATATCGTCTTAGCTCACTAAAGTCAGACAGACCTGGTGTCGACTCCAGAGGGGGTGAGCAGGAAGCAGCGGAGACAGCTGTATGTGTGGCCTCCACTTTCACCTTCAGAGTCACTCTCAGGGAGGGGTTTAATAATCTTCACAAAGGTTTCTGGGAAGATACCGGTCTGATTGTTTACTGTACCCTGAAGGAGAAAAAAAAAGAAGAAGAGGAAGAAGCGCATAAAGAAGAGGAAGCAAATGATCAAAAGATGAGCGAACAAATGAATTATGTCTCAGAGGATGGAGTGATAGGGGACTGATGATTAGACAAGGTGATGATTTAAAGGAGAGAAAGAGAAGAAAGCAGCATGGAAGTGCATCTGGAGAGACGTTTTCCCGACTAATTAGCGTGTTCATAATATGCTGCTGCACTAAACACAATCATACAGCCTTTTTACTACACCCCTGGTGTCTCACTGTGTTACTCTGCAGAAACACATACAGAAGCTGTTTCAAAAAGCATCCAGCACTTTCACACATTTATTGTAGAACAAGGAAGCAGTATTATGTGAAAAAAAAGCCTTTCATTGTAACGCGCCGAAATCACAACTTTGGATCAAGTACAATGATGATAACACCCAGTCTGTCCTGAAAAGTTGTATATTCAAACCTCTTTAGTCAGCTGACTTGTATGTTATCTAATGGGTGTGAATTTAATAAAAATGGAGCATTTGTAGTATCTTGTGTTGCAACTTTAAAGCAATTGATAAAAGTTAAGTTAAAAAAAATTAGGATCTGAAGACAGCACATCCAGATAATCATTTTGTTTCTATCACAACTTCACGTGCTTCTGAGGTCTGTGGAAAAGTCTAGAGAGCTTGAAAGAGGTTGTAGTTGTACAACTTTGCTGCTTGATCGTTGTGGTTCATCCTGCAGCCTGCACCTGGATTACCAAATCATTACTTTGGAGGAGGCTGTAAAATGTTATGCCCTGGCTTCATTTCAGGAAATTACATAATAATCAACGAACATTTATGGGCAGAACATTTTTTCACTTGATAATCTTATTGCAAGTTAATGTGCTTAAATAGTTGAGCTTAGTCTTTCTTAAATTGTAGTAACAGTACTCTAAGGACTATGAAGTACTACAAGAGGTACTTTTACTTTATTGTGACCTTTTGAAGTCTTTATTGAAAAAAATGACAGAACTGGTTGGTTAGTTGGTTAGCAGGAATAAGGTTAAAAAACATGGACAAAAAGTCACTGATATGCAATCATGTGAAAAGAAAGTTCACACAGACGTTGTTTGGCACTTTGCTGCAGTCAGATGTGTGTTTACTCAATGTGAAGAAGGAAAAACATCATGTCTTTAGGCAGGAACTTATGGGACCCATCAGTCTGAGAAGAATTACTGTATGAGGCCATTTACAAATTATTTGAAGTTTATAAATCCACAGGGAGAAAGATCTTTCACAAATTAAAAATATTCAGGACAGCTGCCAATCTTCCCAAGGGTGGACAACCCCCAAAGATTTGCTCTTTTTTTTTTTTAGCTAAAAATATTCTTCAATTTTGAGGGATTCTTGGCTCTTCAATACATTGAAAGTGGTAAGATTAATCAAAAAAATCTGATTACCACTAATTGGATTACAAACCCATCTAAGCTGATATTGGCCCTAGAATAGATCATGTTGAAACAAACCTGGATCCTGCTTTGTGTCATTTTCTACAGACTCTGTAGACGTGCTCTCTGTTGTAAGTCACTCGATAGAAGTCACTGGTCACTGCAGTCATGGGCTGAGTATGTTCTACTACCAGTGTACTTCCAGTTCTCCTTAAAGTCAAAGCTGACGACCAGTCCAAGCCTGCAGGCTTCTTTCTCTGCATCAACACTTCACAGCTGCTCGCTTCTATCACTCTCCTTTCAGTTGGCCGCTGAGCAGCACTGTCGCAGCAGCTAGTGATGAAGTCTGTTTCTCATTGGCAGCTTTGCAGCCGCTGGATTTGTCGGTTTCCAAAACTGTGGTTTCACTCTGGTGTGTTTGAAATGTTTACCTTGACGCACCAGTATGCCAGTTGGATTTGTCACGTTTTCCACCCACATCCACTCTGTCCACTGACTAACTCTACGCACTCAGTCAACTTTTCACAAGTTGTAAGTGTTGCATTAACCTCACCCCCCATCAAAAAAAACAAAAAACAAAAGACATACTACTAGTGTGGATAACAGCGTTGCCAAAAAAGAACAAAGCCTCAGCATTTTGCAGTGTTGCATAAGGACAAATAGATTATGTTTTCTGTTACTTTTTTTCGATCTCTTTAGAAAGCCGGGGGCAGGTTAAGTTCATCCTCCTCCTCCTCTGTGGTGATTCTCTTCCCTCTCCCATCAGGGCAGCTTCCACCTCCTTTCTCTCTCCCACTCACCCAGCGTCGTTCTCACATCTCGACACCTCACACAGTTTTATCAAGCATGTTTCTTTACCTTTTTTTTAAGTACTCACAAAGTGAGTGATGAAGAAGAATTACTATGACATCTATTTGCCAGCAGCCATATTCCAGCTTTGCATTTTTTTAAAAAAATGCAGAGTATTAGATAAAAATATCCACTTGTGCACGACTCATACATACAAACAGTGAAAACTAGAGCAGAGCTTCTCCAATCACACCAGGGAAGGCACTCTGTGGTCACCGTAGTAGGCTGATTCTGAGTAGGATGTTGTCAATCTTTTTTTTAAATGATTGTTTTCATTATAGTTTAACTGACTGGACTACTCGACTCTGATTTGCCACAGAGTTGGCTCTTTATCCTCTGCAGTTAAAAAAAGGCCTAGTGAAAACATTTTAAAAATATGTAAAAGACAAATAAATCAAACCAAATCAAAAGATTATTGTAAAGCAGCAGGTCCGTTGCTCATAGTTGTTATTCTAGATCTCAGATTGGGCTGAACTCTTTGTGGATACTAGTGGATACATATTACAAACCTGGCACATCATTTCTTTATCATTTCAGATTTCGACATACTCACACCAAATAATAAAGGAATAAATAAATCGACAAATAGACAGATGTGCATGTCTTTCAATCATGACAGTCTGCAAACATGGACACTGTCATG